CAAGGCCTTCTCTACAGCACCAACGGGGCCCCAGGCCCCATCCTTTGGCCCATCGGAGGGGAGGAGTGGGCAGGGGGGAGAACACTGGAATAAGCAGGGCAGAAAGAATCTTTGTGACAACGACAATTGAAAAAAACACTAGACACCCAGCTTGCTGGGGGTCGGGGGAAAGCAGGAGAGCGGTCATGTGGAAAACGCCCTTTCTCCTGAAGGCTTGGCCCTGCCCATTGGTTCTCCTGAAAAACTCCTTCATCCCCTAGGGATTCCTGCAGGCTGGGAGCACAGGTCTGCTTTTGGGAAATTATGTCTGCTCAACTTGGAGGACCCAGATGCTGCATCATGCAGGCTGCTTGGAGATTCTGAATGTCAGGACGGACTCCAGTGCATCTGATTTCTTAGAACATGGTGTGACAGAGCCAGGTGCGCACATGGCCAGCCCAGGTGGCAAGGGGCTGCGTGGGAGGCAAGCCAGGCATCCTCCTTCCACATCTACCCTAAGTGAGTTTCTGTGTGCCCTTGGTGGGGCAGTGTGAGTGCTTGCAGGTGATGTGGAAAGCTCTGGAAGCTTCCGGAAGCTTGTAGCGTACAGTGCATGTCCTCCTTCTGTTGTCAGTGGGGTCTCCCCTTGGGGAATCATTCTATAAAGCCCCGGACTCAGCATCTGGCAACTGAGACCCTGCAGGCAGCCCCAGGTGGACAGCAGATATGAAATCTACCCAGGACACCTCCTTGGGTCAAAGGGTTGCTCTGCTTACCTGGGCCTCTATAGCAGACAGACAGGAACACAGCTGCTGCAAGTGCACGGCTGCCCTGGGAGAGGTCTACAATGTACGTGTCTGCTCATGGTTGACTATGGATCTTTCGGTTCTGTTTCCTATAGTAAATGGTATCTGTTGTTCAACGCCACCTACAGAAATGCCTACCATGACCTCGAGCCAGAGGCATTAGGTCAGGTGGCCACGACCACATTTGCTTTGGGGGCTTCAGCATGGCTTGGAGTGGGGAGGGCGGGGGAAATGTGAAGCATTAGCTTCACATCACAGAAGTTTGCTTCAAGTGAACTCTAGTTCTACTGCCTTGTTCTAGGTATGGCCCATCAGCCAAAGCACTCATACTGTAGCTTTGATCTCTTGGCCTAGGGGAATCAGGCAAGGCCACCTTCCCCTGAGTACCCTACCACTTTGCCAGTTTATCCAAGCAGTCAGGGAAGCCCTGCCGGTGATGGCCTCAGGAGGCCTCACACCCATGAAGGACCCCTGACTGGGGTCACTGTTTTCCATCTGTGTTGGAAGCAGCTGCTGCCAGATTTGCAGGAAATGAAATGAGTTAAGAAAAGAGTGCTCCAGATTCAGAGTGCCATCTTGCATCCTGAAAAGAGAGTGTAGTTTTCCAGAAGAGTTATTCCAGCAGGAGTGCGGGGAGGAGCATGTAGACCGTGCCCTGGGAGAAGCCCATCGGGCAAGATAAACCTGTTAGATGGAGAGAAGGCTTTGGCTTGGATTCAAAAACACGCTGCCCAAACGCTCTGCTTTGCAAGGGACAGTCAGGTCTTGTCATCTGAGCTGAATTTTAATGGTGTCCCTTTCACTCTGAATTAAAAGATAAACTCTGATCATCCCCTATTGTAGAACAGAGAGGGAGTTCAGGCCGAGCACAAGCCCGGAGAGAACATGCAGCAGCAGCACTTGGGGCTCATGATGGCGTGACGGCTGGGAGAGGCCCAGTGCGTTCATCCCGAGGCATGTTTGGAACCACAGGTTGTGGGACAGGACATTTGGTACTATGGTTAAGAGACAGTACTGGGGACACCTGCATCCTGTATAGGAGTGCCTGGGTTCAAGTCCCAGCTCTGCTTCCACTTCCAACATCCTGCTAATGTGCTGCCTAGAAAGCAGTAGGTAATGGCTCAGGTAGATGATTTCCTGCTACCCTTGTGGGGAACTCAGATTTCTCAGCTCCTGGCATCAGCCTGGTTCAACCCCAGCTATTGTAAACGTTTGGGGAGTGAGTCAGCAAACAGAAGTGTTCTCACTCTCTCTCTCACTCTGCTTTCCAAAAAAAACCCTCGAATCAATTTAAAAAACAAAACAAAAAACATGGTACCAGTGATGTCTCATTACACACACCTGCAGGTGCGGACATTGGAAGGGTCTTTAAGTTCATCTAATTAACCTTCTCTGTTACCAGAAGATACAGGCTGAGAGGTCACAGAGCGAAAGACCTGGCAGATGGGGAAACTGAGTCACCGAGAAGCCAACAAGAGCCCATGCTGACCACCTTCAGCCATAGGGTATGATGAACAAGCCACAGGAGAGGATCCCCCAGCAGGGCACGGCAGCATGGCTCAAGGCTGCATCTCAGCCTCATGGCCTTAGCATGCTCTTGAAGTGGCAGAGGGCAGAGCGCTGGATTCACCAGGCAATTCAGTCATTTGAGTGGATGCTCCAGGAAGACTTCCAGCCCAGGGCAGTGCAGAGCCCTCTGCTCCCTGCTGTGTGATCTGTGGCCAGGCTGGGTAACGGTGCTCATGGCTGCTCCTCCTGATCTGCCATGTCTGCTTCTCTGGGTGTGCCTGACCTTGGCTTAGCCTTCTCTTGGCTGAGCATTTGCGTTCCACATCTTCTCAGTGATGTGTGCATGCAGCATTTTCACGGATGACCATGAAGCATTAGCTCTTGGGTCCCCATTACCTTTGACAATGCAGGACAGAATAAAAGCATGCACAATTTAATTTTTAAAAATACCACACTTGGCTCCAATTTGCGATTTCTGTCTCCAACAAGTGCTCACGAGGTCGAGTTAAATATTTAAAGTGATGTAGAGCCAACTCAATCAGCGGCCAGCCAACAGTTAGAATGCTGCACTGTCAACCTCTGTACATTCCCTCACATAACATCTATCAAAATCCTGCTCCCTGTTGTCACACCCACAAGACACCCTCCCGTATGTGACATAAAAAAAAAAACCTCAATCTTTTGAAAAAAAAAATCATAACAGTTTCAGTGTCTGTGTACTGAGCACATGTTTTTGCTCAGTGAAACTTTTTTGATGATGCCTACTCAAATATCTACAGAAATGGAGAAAACACCCACAGACACAGGCCTCGGTGGCTGCCTCACACAGTCTGCAGAGGAGACACATGACTCTGGGTGCCATGGAAGATCATCCATATGCTAGGACATCCCAAGCCCTCTCGCTCTTCCTCTCCTAGCCTCAGACTGCTCATTTCTAACCAGATACACCCAAGAAGCCATCTGGGGACAGGCTGGGAGTCAACGAGCAGGTGAGATTGTGAAAAGGAACCTTTGGGGAACATGTCTTTCCATCCACCCACTCTAGTTGTGAAAAAAAAATTTTTTAAAAACAAACTCAGAAAGGACTGTGGTGTCCCAAGCATGTAACCACAAGGACGCCTAGAAGCTGGCCTGGGGCTTGTGGTCTCCTGAGCCGGCCTCTAGGCTCGGCTTCCTCTGAGATGCCCCTGTAACCTCCAGGTGGAGCTGGCCTGGGCTTGTGGTCTCCTTAGTCGGCCTCTAGGCCTGGCTCCCTTTGAGATGCCCTCCCAAAACCCCCAAATGGTGCTGGGAAGGGTGCAGGAGTTTTACCTCCTGAAATCAGGGGAGTGGCAGAGAGAAGGAGGAGGAGAGAGAAGCGAGAAGGAGTAGAAGGTAGGTGAACATGCTAGACAGTGTTGATGAAAGAGTCCAGGTCGTTGAACAGAGAGAGGGTGAGGGCGAAGAGGCAGGTACCAGGAGCCTGAGAGCTGCTTCAAGGTTACCAGTGTCAGCCTGCATTTGGGAGGAGCTGTCCTGGAGGAACAGACCTCAGGACAGCAAATGGAGAGCTTGGTGTGGAAAACTGCAGAGGACAAGCTCAACTGTTGTTGTCAAGCCGGTGCCTCCCACGTCCAGATCTGAGGCAGCAGGTCTCATGCAAACCAGCCCTCGGTATCAGCAACACTTTAAAAAAAATTATTATTATCCGATTAACATCACTGAAAGCTTAAAAAAAGACAATCCAAAAATATCACACCTTAGGCAAATGAGTCGAAAATCCCTTACAGTGACACCCTATTTTTTTTTCCCACCCATTTCTAAAGTCAGAGGACACCTGGTAAAGAAAGCGGGGTTTAGGTAAAGAAATGCAATTCCTGGTACATGTGGTTTCCTGATGGTGCAGAATTGAAATGACATCATGGAAACACGTACTTCTCAGGCTCAGCCTGCACGGTTCACAGGTGAAAGCAGGAGTCTCAGTCATCAATGGAACAGCAGGGGTGTGTGTGCGCGCGCATGTGTGTGTGTGTGTGTGTGTGTGCATGTGTGTGTTACACCTTTATGTTCTGTGTTACCCATCACTTTCTGCTCTCGAAGATAAAGGTGCGAATGAATTTCTTGAGGTTCCTTGCCACATTCCTCACACTTCTGGCTCATCTGCACATGGAACCCAAATGCGAGTGATGCCACATCTCTGCTCCCGCCACTCAGATGGACAGAAAACAGCTGTTGCTGAAAAGGAAATCAGTTTGTCTTCCATTCAAGGGCAAGGACCCTGTAATATCAGAAGCTCATCCCAGCAGTTAAGATGAACAATCTAATTTTGTCACCCTCCCTATGGTGAGAGAAGTGAAGGATGTGGATTCCTTTGTCTTAATTAACAACATGGAAGAAGACGTGGAATTCGGCCTAGCCTCATAAATCTACTCTTAGACTCAGGACTGTCAGGTAAGTTTAAATAGAAGCGACGGAGCTCTCTGGAGAGTGAAGTTAAGTCCTTGCTAGCGGTTGACACCACTTCCCTGTCACTTCTCTGCACTCCATGGACATGGCTGTGCTCATTACCCAGCAACCCTCCCTACCTGCTGATGACAAGTTCATCCCCATGGAGCACAAAATTCAGAGATGATAAATCTACTGCCGCTGATACAAACAGAGCTCTCCTTGGGGCAAGCCAAACGCTACCAGACTTTAAGGAAATCAGCCCTTGAGCTGATCACCTACCTTCATTAGCAGAACCCGGTCCTCGGTGCCAGGGCAGCGCATCACCGCCAGGGAGAACTGCTCCAGCGTAACTGTCGGGGAGAAATGGAGAGACGAGGTACTGCGGCCATCGCACACAGAAACCCCTCATGCTGCAAGCTTCATGGGTAATACTGAAGGGTCCCCTCTCTGTCCTCCCACCCCACCTGACCCCGCTACCCCAGGGTAGGTCAGCTGGGCCGATTATGTCAGAGCCCAAGGCCATTACCACAGCAGAAATCTACTGGGGTTCAGCCACCATGTGAGGACCATCCTGTCCCCATAAAACCATGCGCTATCCTCACTTGTACTACCTGCCTTGGTACATTTGACTACATTTTCTATCTCAGTCTTCCATCATGACTTCCATGGCTTTAGCTCTTCTATGTGTTGGCTCAAGCAAACTCCCTCCCATTTATATGTACCTATGTATCTTATACACATCTCAAGTCATCTTTCTCCATCTAATCTTCTCTAGCGACTGGAAGGAAACCTGAAAAGGCTTAGAAAATCACGTTATAACAATCCACTTAAAATTGGCCATGGGCACTCTAGGAATGTTAATCTATACCACTGACATACATTTCACTCCCTTTCTCTCAATCCACAGGGAGACTCTTATCAAAGGCCCACCTGTTTGAGGACCATTTTTATTTTCACACAAATAAACACCAAACCAGAGATTCCCTGAACACTACCGTGAATTTTATTTCCCTCTCAGCAATACCTCAACCCTCAGATTTCAATCCTCTTCTTTTGAAAGAAACTCAAGCGTTTGGATCAGCTCACCGTCTTGAGTAGCCTAACACCAGGCTCATCCTAACTTGCACAGACCCGAGAGATTTACATCAGTAATAACGAATTGTCACTGAGACAGCATAGCTGGGGTAATTTCTGGAGTTTCACTATTACCTACAAGCCCTACGTGTTAGGTATTTGCATGACGGTAAATGACTCGGTGCAGCCGTGGTTGCTATCTGTTGTCATGTGAGCTCAATGCTTCTTTCCAAAGTGGTTGCGCTGGTCCAGTCCAAATGCAGCCAGCATTAACAAACAGGATCGGAGTTGCCAGACTCGTGTGTTCTCCCAAGCGGACCTGTCTGTCCACTCTTTAGCTGGCTAATGCTAATGTCAATTAATCACATACTTTCTTAATCCACTTAGGTTGTCACCACAGAATGCCCCAGACTGGTTATTTATAAAGAGCATTAGGTCTCCCGGATCAAGGTGCCAGCATGTGGTCTGGCGAGAGCTGTGGTACTTCCTCTTCATATGGCTGAAGGCAGAAAGGCAGGTGAACCAAACGCTCGCTGAAGCTTCCTAGAGACCTCAATGCTGTTCACCAGGAAACAACCCTCCTCTCTTCCAGGCTCCATCTTTTCATCTCATCACATTGGCAACAGGTGGAATTTGTGGAAAACATCTTCAACCCATAGCACACACAACCTCCCATGTAATTAAAAATTAGCTGTCTCCTTTATGAGGGGGACTAACAAAAACTCAGGAAATGAGAGACCAGCCCAGACTAGAAGGAGCTTATACCTCTGTTTTGCTATGGGTCCAATATGATATGACAAAATACTGAAACCTAGCTACTGTCTGAGGATAATTCAAGAATAATCTACAGCGGGAGGTGGAAGGTGGAAGGTGGGAGGGGAAAATAAAGGGTGCGTCGGGGAGGCAGAAAGCATGATTGTGGGACAGGTACTGGCATCCCATTTGTGTCCTGGCTGCTCCACTTCTGCAACAGCTCCCTGCGTATGGCCTGGGAAAGCAACACAGGATGACTCAAATCCTTGGGACCCTGCACCCACGTGGGAGATTTGGAGCAGGCTCCTGGCTCCTGGCTGTGGCTGTTGTAGCCATCTCGGGAGTGAACCAGCAGATGGAAGATCTCTATCTCTCTCCTCTTCGTAAATCTGCCTTTCAAAGAAAAATAAATAAATCTTTAAATAAAGAAAACTTACACAAACAAAAAAGTTTGCAAACAGAAAATGTACATGGGTCAGCATTGTGACACTGTCCACCACACCTATTGTTAATGGCATTTGGCTCTTTCTCTTCTTTTACACTTATTTATTTATTATTTGAAAATCAGAGGTACAGAGAAGAAGGAGAGAGAGTGAGAGCAAGACACAATGATCTTCCATCTGCTAGTTGATTCCCCAAATGGCTACAGTAACCAGACTTGGGCTTAGCTGAAGCCAGGAGTCTGGAACTTCTTCTTTGTCTCATAGGTGGATGCCCAAGCAATCGGGCCAGCCTCTGCTGCTTTTCCAGGTGCATTAGCAAGCACATGGGTTGGAAGTGGAGCAGCCAGGACTCCCTCACACAAGTGTCCACAGAGAAGCTGATGTTGCAGGTGTCAGCCTAAATCACTGTGCCACAGGGCCGGTCCTCGCTGTTCCTACAACAAAAGCCAACCCCAAGAACAGGGGCTAAACAGAAGCAGAATGCACCTGTTTCTGTGTTGTTTCCCTCCACCTTGGACACCGACGTGACTTAGTGGTTTAACACCAACTGTGGGCGTCCCTCTGACCTCACCCCTCTCTGGTTCCCACCAAGAAAGAAGGCAGAAGCTCAGCATCGCGTTGGGCAGCTCCAGTCCACCACATCCCCTGGATGCCTTTGTCACTGACAATGTGGAGGGAGCAGCCACATCACAACAAGTCCCTCTTCCTGCCTTTGAGTGAAGATAGCTCAGAACAGATGCCAGCAGAACCTCAGAGCTCCCTGGGGCATGAGTTCCCCCAGTAGATTCTAAACTTTCTTGGTTCATCCCTTAATAAGGCTGCTTCAGAAATTCATGGAGATATGAATTTATAAAGTTAATTTGGATGTAAACCTTTTTTTCAAAATTGATGCATACAAAGATGCTTAAAAACCTTCATGGAAAAATGTATATTATGAAAAATTCTGCATGGGTCACAGTGTTCTTTGCCCTAACATTAATGTATCTTTTGACTCTGTCTCCATGAACCTTTCTTCAACTGGTTCACTCCCCAAACGGCTGCAGCAGCCATGGCTGGCACCCAGGGTTGGCCCAGATCAAAGTCAGGTGTCTGCTTCTCAGCTGAATCTCCATGTGGGTGCAGGAGCCCTTCACTGCTTTCCCAGCACATTCATTAGCCTTGTGGTCATCTTTCCTAACACGATATGCCCCTTTAAGCAGACACCAAACCTTGCTAAATGGTTCTGTGGACAAATGTCTCTCGCATTTCTGTGTAAAAGCCATCATCTTCAAGTTAGGAAAGCACTGTGTTTTCTCAGCAAATAAAACCCCTGAGTCATAAGCAAGGGAGAGGTAAATTCATGAAGAGGAGACACAGCGCTATTTTACCTCCCGGCCTTTTGGGAGGTAGGATAAGTTAAAGATGATGGTTTTATCTCTGGTGATTCATCAAACTCACAAAAGACAAAACAGATGCTCTCAAGAACGAATACATCATCTTAATGCTTCATTTGGACATGTTTGTGACCCCCAAAGCATGGATCTTAAAGAGCTGTCCCCCCAAAACTTAATAGTGCCCATGATTTACGCCTTCCAGTCTTGCTTCTAAGACACGCTGAAGTGAGAACATGGCAGAAGGCACCTTTAAAGAAAACGGACACATTTGAAACATACAGATTATTTATAGTCACAAAGCCCGAAGAGCTGAAAGAAAATCTGCTGTCAGCAGACGGTTGCTTTTTCTATGTTTTCCTCTGTAGCTCATTTTGGTTTTTGTGTGGGTGGTTCATGGGGACTCAAAGGTTATTTGGTAAATGTTTTGTGAGATTAGAACATGCTGTCCTTTAAGATCTCTAGTTAAATGTATGTTTATGGCAAATATGTTGAATGTTACAGGACATGCTATAGAATGATTTCTTAAAAAAAAAAAAAAAAGAAAAAACATAAAATTGGACCTGGGTGGTTAGGCTAAGACAAGAGTCCCTTTTGCTTCTAGGTGGAGTCTAGGTGAACCAGGGTCGTATTCCCAACCCTCTTGCTAACGGATAACTCAGGATGTGAAGTCACCCAGGACGAGCTGATGTTGTTGTCTGACTCTGTGTTCCTCTCTGTCATTTACATGGTGCTCATCTCTCCCAGTGAGGTGACTCCTTGGGTGTCAGAAGAGGCGAGGCCAGTTGCCACTGAGGCCAGATCTCTGTGCTCCATCCTGCAGGGTCCAATGTTGCAAACCATGGAAACCATGCTTGAGAGGTGGGAGAATTTCTTCTTCTTGCCTTTTTAGCACTGCTGGCTACCAGATTCGGGTCCAGAGGCACAATGGGCCCTCTCCTGTGCTCACGTAGGAGCAGCCGTCTGTGGGCCTCTGAAAATTCCTTCCCGTGCTTCCTGCTGGGTGATTCTATCTGCCTCAGTTTCCCCCCAAGGGGAAGGCAGTCATTCCATCCTCATTACTTGGGTTTGCAGGGGGGGTCAGACTGACTCTGTCCGTAATGTGTTGCACGGGGCCTGATATACCGAGTCCTTCCTAGCTCTGCTCACTCTCAGAATGGGCCCGTTTCATTCATGGGAAAGAGCCTGAGATCTGAAAACTCAGGGAGTGCCAGGCCCTACTTATATGACGTACTCACACCTTTGGTGATGGTAAGCCGGCCAATTAGACACAGTAAAAATAAGTAACAATGATAATAAAGAAAGTAGAATACTTCTAACAGTAACATGTTTTAAAACTTATGATTAAAATTATGAGTTGTTTATCAGTTGGTCCCAGGATAAATGAAACCTCAGAAAACAAAACTGAAGATAAGGGGACACTAATATATACAGCCGAAGTGCTTCCACATGGTCATTTGCTGCTTTTTTTTTTTAAATGTAATCTTAATAGATAGAGAAAAGAGACAGGAAAAAGAAAACCCACAGGAAACATTACTCAGAAGTAAACCCAGGGAGACTAGTAATAAGCAGGGATGTCAAGTTTAATACAGGAAAATATGTGTTAAGCAGGTACACAAAGAAAGCCTCCAGAAGTTCAAGATGACTAGACTTGCCATTCTCCACTACTCATCTGTAGGACAGAAAGCACTTAGAGGCCAAGGAGGACTT